TGAGGTTTTTTTCTGTTTTGTGTTGTCATTGTTATTGGGTTTTGTTTTGTATTTTTTTTTGGGGGGGTGCTGTGTATTTTCTGTATATATTTCTAAAATCCAGAACAGGTAAATCTCTAGAGACAGTAACTGGATTAATAATTACTTAAGGACATGGCAGGAGATGTTGGGGGTAAATGGGGAACCAACAACAATAACCACAAGAAAAAATAAAATGTTAAAAAATTGATTGTGGTGATGATTGCACAACTTTTCTTAATAGGACCGATCTATTGAATCTTGTGATCTGTGAATTGCATGCCAATGGAAAAGAAATAAAGAAATGCTCAGGGTACAGATGTTTGGTCAAGAGCATGTTTTCTCTTCAGGAGGGCCTCCTTTTGGCCTTCAATCTTAGCCTGACAGCTCTGCCCTCCTTGTACAACGTTATAATGCTCTCTTAGGGTTGATAATCAAAGCCAAGGGGTTATGAAAGCCCAGATGCTATAAGCCTGAACTCACAGGACTCAGCTTCAACTCTGGGGGTCAGCAAACCCAGGCCCCTCAATTCCGTGCTCACAGGGGCCCACTCCACAAGACAGCATCCTGCCCAAAGCACTCCCACTTAGTTTCTCGGGGGGCTGTGAAGCCTACAGCTCTGTCTCACGCTCTGACCCCTGGTCTTGCTGTTGCTGCCCCTCTACTACTCCTTGGGTGTCAAAGCTGCCTCCTGGATCAGAGAAGTTCAATGTGCAGGAAGCTGTGGGTCCAAAGCACTGCTGGCTATTTGGTGCTGGTAGTAAAATCCACCACCCCACCACCCCATTCCTCTTTTGAGATGATTCATTTTCTACCCAGCGATCACAGTTGACTCTGTGAGCCATCGTTCACAATGGAATCACTTAATACAATCAGTTTCTTCCTCCGCCTTCTTATCCAGACCCACTGGGAAAACAAAGGTCACTTGGTGGGAACGACAGAGGCTATGACTAGAAGAGTCGTGTTAAAAAAATCCACTGCCTTGCAGGAGGAGCTGATAATCCAGCATGGCAGAGTGTTGACGCAAATGCCGGGGGAAGGGAGGGTCCAAGCCTAGTCAGCCTTAGCCTCCTTTTCTCGGTGGCTCTGTAGAGCAGGCTTTTTGAGCTACTCTGATTTTATTTCTGGGAAACAGTTGCTGCTGATAACAGGTCATTAATGTGGAAGACACTGGCGGCCACAGGCTACCGAGCATATACAACTCTATTGAACGAATCAAACTAACTTAATAGCCAAGTAGTATTATAATCAGATAAGAGACACCATAACTGAAGAGGCGAGCCAAGATCAATACAAGAAGTATGGGGCCCAAGAGGCAAAGGTATAACTAAAACAGGCTCATGAAGATTTAAAGGGCAAATGTCTCTGTTTGCTCAAAGCTTTTTCTGACCCTTTTAAAGAACAGTGACTAGTAAATGATTTAAAAATTATATAAAGTCTCCATTTTGAATCTCTAGAATATTTCCAAATATTAAACTAAATGGACAATATAAGCAAATCATAAGCAAACAGCTTATGACAGAAAATATTAAGTTTTTAAGCAACTCATGGTAATTACATAGACAGTTGCTAAGATATTACCAAAGGCTAGCAGTCATTACTATTAATATGTAATAATCAACTGATGTGAATCAAATAAGAAAGCATGCAAATACATTGCAAGTTAAAAAAATAATAAAACAATTAAAAATCACAAGCTCACTGACATCAAGTCAATTCTGACTTACAGTGACCCTCTAGCATGGGGGGCAGAACTACCTCTGGGGGCTTCCGAGACTGTCAATCATTAAAGAGTAGGAAACCTCACCCTGCTCCTTCAAAGGAGTTGGTGATTTCGAACTGCTGACCAGTGGTTAGTATACCCAACCCATCATCCACTACAGCACTAGGGCTGTAAGAAATGACAAAGAAGCTAGCCATAGGATATGGATTTGGACAAAGCAACTGGCAATATTCATAAAATGAGACAATTTGCTGCCTATCTGTTGTTTTATCATACTGTGGTGACTTGTTCACTGCTATGGAGCTGGAAAGCATGCCACCGGTATTTCAAATGCCAGCAGAGTCAACCCTGGTAGACAGACTTCGGGTGATTCCACAAAAAGTCAGACTAGAAAGAAAGGCCTATAAATCTACTCTGAGAAGTAGCCATTGAAAACCTTCTGGATCACAGCAGAATATTGTTCAATAGAGTGCCAGAAGTTGCATACCCTTAGGTTGAAAATATTCTAACTACATGGTAGCCCAGCAATGAGCTCCTGCACACTAGCCATCAGTTATAAAAACGATCCCGAACCTGGCAATACCCCTCCTGTTGCACATGGAGTGCCATGAGTCTGAGCCAATGCAATGGAAACGCAGAACAACAATCACTCGATAATAAAAAGAAAGACAAAAATGAGTCAAAACGGGGAAATGAGGAAGAAAAGAATAAAACATAAATATGTAAGATTCCTTCTGAATGTATTAAAATTGATATAATGCAAACTTATTTTTTTAAATGAAGATGTACAGAGAAGAAAATATTTTTTAAACATAAAATTGATAAAAATAGAAATTAGATCTTTTGGATGAATATCTACCACCCAAATTATGCATCAGTATGCACCTGCCACGTGCTTTATTTTTCACTCCCTGTTCTCCAATTCACATGTTACTCACTCCGCGGTTCTGTGTCACACAGAAGCAGAAGGGAGCGCTTTGGCATTCAACATGCGTCCTGCTCTTTCAGTACTGGAAACAGTTGGCATACACTTAAACGTGCAAAGTTTCAGAAACAAGTCTTATATTCATGAGAAGAAGGGAGAAGTATAAATCAATAGTGACCTTTTAAATGCCATCTGTGTTCCATGCATTTACAAACATTCATAAACACAATTTCCCCTGAACCTTAGAACCACTCTGTGTTAGATAGTATTTATGGTCCTCATACAGAAGGAAGCTGAAGTTTAGTGAATTTTGAACGTTTCTATCACTCTTTTAAGCTAAAAATCAAAGGGTCAAAAGTGCATTCGGGTTGTCTGATTTCAAAGCCCTTTCTCTTTCTTTGCTTCATGTGTCCAAATTCTTGCCCTAATACTGCCACTGAGAGCCGTATGTCTGGCTGGCCTGTCATGCATGCTTGTTATGTCAATGCCTGTTGTCTCCGTCTGGCTAGCATTTTAAAGTCTATCTGATGTTGTGTTGTGAAATCTCCCTATCTTAAAGTCTCTGACTATCTGTATTGGTCTTGTAGTGCTTTATCATTGGAGGTTTTTAGTTTCTGCATTCCTCGGTCATTTATTTTTAAGTTCTGAGAAAGCCATCATATCCTTTTATCTGTGAACTGTACCTGTTTGAATGACTCACATCCTGTTTGATAGACAGGTTTTACATGAGCACAATTCGGTTATTCACAATCTGTGATGATGCTGCATACAATTGAATACCACTGAACAGCCAACAACACACAGGCAAACAGCTCTCTGGATGGAATCTGTTTCCATCAAAACCCATCTGACATCCGCAAAGATATTCCTTGTTCCATATCCTCTTCAGAAATCAGCTTGAATTTCTGGGACCTCCATGTCAGTGCACTGCTGCACCCATTTTTGAATTATCTTCAGCAAAAAAAAAATTACTTGCAAGGGATATACGATACTGTTTGGTGGGTTCCACATTCTGGTGGGTCATCTTCCTTTGGAATGGGCGAATGTGGATTCCTCCAGTCAGTTGGTCTTCCAGGTTGCTCATCACAGACCAGTGAGTGCTTCCATGCTGCATCCATAACAATAAACCAAAGGAGAGGAATTAAAACGCAGTAATTAAAGGGCAGTCTATTCTACAGTGAAACTCCCTGCATTCAAAATCTGGCTGTGGGCCTGGCCAAGGTACAACTTCTCTGGACCTTAATTTCCACATATATCAAATGATTGGTAATACAATCCACCTCACTGGGGTGAGAGCGCTAACTGAATTAATGTCATGTGTTTGGCATACGTAATATGGTGTAAGTGCTTGCTACCTTCCTCATCATTATTCTCATAAACAGAAAACCTAAGGATGAAAAGGAGAAAACCATTAACACATAATAAGTAATTAAATAGTAAGCAATGAGATTGGAGAAATAATTTCAAAGCTTTCAGTGCCAAAAGGCGAATTGACTAAATGTATCTATTAAATGAAAAAAAAAAGGTAAAAATAAAACTAAAGGCTCTCCAATGCAATTAAAATTATATATCAATTAAAATGAAATTCTATAAACATTAAAAATGAAGAAAAATTTAATATACAGTATCAGGCACTGCAATATGAGGCACAAAGACAATAGCTGCTGGTCTCTGACTCATGGACGCCTTATGTAGCATAGATAGAATGAAACACTGCCATGTCCTGTGTTATCCTCAGAGTTCCCAGCATGTTGGAGTTCATTGTTGTATCTACTGTTGCAATCCATCTCGCCAAGGGTCTCCTTCAAATGCACCGGTCCTCTACTTCAGCAAACATGGCACGATTGACTACCTGCAGTGTATCTAGGGGCCCTGGTAGTACAGTGGGTTACACTGGTAGAACTTCCTTTTGCCTCATCCAAGTTGCTGTTTTCAGCTGACTTGCTGGAAATCCTCCCTTTGAGAATGTCTAGCGACTTCCCTTCCAGCCTACACTTATGAATAAAGAATAACTTTGTATCTTAACTGTCTGAAACCATTATGACTTTCTTGGAAATCAGTTAATGACGTTAATTATAAATTGCCATCCTTGATTATACTGCTCTAATAGTCTGATGATGTAACCAAGTCACAAAGTGATACTTTATCAGTAGAGTGATATTAGGATTAAATGGCCTAAGAAGTATACATTAGTATAAGATAAAGTTGGTTATGCTTTTGAAAATGAAAAGAATGTACTGAAAGAAGAAAAGCTATTAAATTCCACGTACATGTAAACTTTATGAAGCCCTTTGATTAACCCTTCTTCTCTTTTACTTTGACTTTTCCCCGTAGGTGTTCTTCATGGCCCTATCATTCAGCTTTGTCGCTAAAGCACTAGGTGGAATCATTATGAAAAGTTCCATTACTCAAATAGAAAGGAGATTTGATATACCTTCTTCTGTTGCTGGATTGATTGATGGAAGCTTTGAAATTGGTAATTTTTACTTCGTTTTTCATTGTAGAGATAAATAAACTGTTCAAATATGCTCTATACCACAGCTTCTCAACACCTTCTCAATAGGACTGAATCTACACCCACACTTGGCTTATCAGGACAATATGGCAATATCAGGATATATTTTTTGTTGTCACAAGTAGGGGGTGGGGAGTACTGCTGGCCTTTAGTAGGTACAGCCCAGGGATACTCTTAAAAATGTAATGTCCAAGATAGCCCTTTTCAGCAATATCTATCAATATATATATATATATTTGGAGAATAGTATATATATATATTCTCCAAATGTTAATAATAAAAGTGGTAAGGATGAAAAATAAATCTATACAAACTCTGCATGTGAAGTCAGACCTGTGAGATTTACCTTTCTAGTCCCCAGTAGCCCTGGTGTGGGAAAAGCTTGGAAGAGAGAAGACTACGATACAGTATATGCCATTCAAAGAAGGAGAAGCAACTTACACACAACCTATATTAGATTTCTATTGTTTAACTGTTTATAGAATTGAGGGTCAATATTCTCTTTTCTTGCTTTTTTCAGAACTTTAAAAATATTGCTCTGTGGTCTACAATTTAATTTGGATATCTCAACATTACCAAAATTGAATCATTTTCCAACTCACAGTGATCCCATAGGGAAGAGTACAGCCGGCTCACAGCCATAGCATTTCAAAGACAGTAAATCTTTATCGAAGCAAACAGCTACAACCGACTGCCAGTGGTGGCCTGAACTAGCCACCAGCCTTTCGGTTAGCAGCCTAGTGCTTAAGCACTGCTTCACTTGGACATCCTTTGCAACAAAAGTGAACTTTTCTGTAGTATTATATACATTTCATTTATGTGCACAAGGAGCAATGATTTATATAAATATTTTCCCTGATTTTATAAATTGGTAGTTGTTATTTTTCCCACTTCTCTGCCACTTCCACTTTTAAATGATTCACAAGGACAAAACATAATATCTGTTTATAGACCACAGATATTTTCTACAAGTTTACTTTGATCTCATTTCATTTAGCTAGTCTTTCTCCGTGGGAGGCACAGCCTCAGAAACCCACGGGGCAGTTCCACCCTTCCCTGTGTGGTCACTACGGGTCACAATTGACTCAATGGCAGTGAGTTTGGTGTTTTTGTTTGAATATTTAATTTAATCATCTAATATACATTTTTCCTTATGAATTCTGACTTTTCATAATTTGAATAAATGATATGCTCACCTCCCTCATCTTTCATTTTGAGGTTTTATTCCAGCTCTCTAGAATAAAAGTGCTAGCGTGTCACTTTCTCTATAACTTACTTCACTAGATATCGCTTTCTTTTGTCAAAGGTGGTCTCTATTTTACAGCAATTGCTTGGATACCAGTATAAGTTTTATTGCTTTCCATGGTTCCCGCTGTCTCCTGAAATGTGTGAGCTCAGGGCTCTTGGCTATTTTTCTGGTGTACGTCTTCCATAACTTTCTTTCTTTCTGTCCTTTTTTTTCAAAAACAATCGAGCAGATGTCATATTTCCTACACCCTTGTTTGTTTGAACACAAATTTATTTTACTGTCATGGTCAAGTGGTAATTTGTTGGATATAAAAAAAGAGATCAAGAACTGTTTTCTTCAGAACATTTTAAACATTTATCCACTCTTTCATAACATCTTTATCACAGGCAAAACCATTACCTGTATGTTTCTCATTCACTCATATGTTTCTTTGCTTTATCCCTAAATTTTGGAAACTTTAGGAACCTCTAACTAGAACTGTCCTTTTTACATTATTTCTATGTGACCAATATGGAAATTTTCATCTGAAAACTTAGACCATCCATACCCTTAGGAGATTTTTTTTGGTTTTAATTTGTGGTTTGTGTCCCTTGTTTTCAAATTTTTTATGTAAGTGATTATTAAATTTTTAAATTTTCTATGAGCTGGGGGAAGATACACACAGCACATCTTCACTTTTACACTCAACCCCTCAGGCCCATTTGGTTGCTGTCACAGAGTGCCATCCCTCAGTGAGACAGCACTTGTACCACTTCCTCCCTGTGCTGTCTGCTTCCACTCCTCCCTTCAGAACCCTTCTGAGCTTTCGTTGGCGTAAATGCTGTCCTTGTGCTCTCACGTGGTTGCTTGTTCTAAAGTGTGAATACCTCTTTAGGGTCAATGTTCCCCTTATGGACCCATGTCCAGCCAATAAGGACTAAGGGCCATAGTCTTGGACCTCCACTGATCTCTATCTGACCAGTAACACTGATCTCGTTTATGATTGCTTTTTTTCTATTATTTATTTCTTAACTTTTTAATTTATTGGTGTGTTCCCACCATATTCTCTTATGCCATCATCTGTGTTGAAATTTCTACATGCTCAAATTTCTATAAGTACATGTTTGTTGCATTTTAAAATTCTCTTTTGGTTTTCCTTATTCATTGTCCAGGTTTCAGATATATATGAGGCAACTGAAAAAACTATACTTTGGATCAGGTGCACTTTAGTCCTTAAAGTAACATCCTTGCTTTTCAGCACTTTAAAGAGGTCTTGTTCAGCAGATTTACCCAATGCAACATGCCTTTTGATCTCCAGACTGCTGCTTCCATGAGCAATGATTGTGGATCCAAGCAAGACGAAATCATTGACATCAGTATTTTCTCCATTCATTTTAATGTTACCTATTGGTCCTGTTTTGAAGATATTAACCTTCTTTACATTGTGTTGAAATCCATATTGAAGGTTACAAGTCTTGACCTTCATCAGCAAGTGCTTCACGCCATCCTCACTTTCAGCAAGCAAGGTTGTGTCATCTGCAAAGATAGAAGCCTTCCTCCAATCTTGATGCCACATTCTTCTTCTTATCGTCCAGTTTCTCTGATGATTTATTCAGCATACAGATTGAAAAATTATGGTAAAATGACACAACCCTGTTGCACACCTTTCCTGGTTTGAAACCATGCAGTATTCCCTTGTTCTGTTTGCATCACTGCCTCTTGATCCATGTGTAAGTTCCTCATGAGCACCATGACATGTTCTGTAATTCACATTCTTCTCAAGGCTATCCTTAGTTGCTCGGAGCCACACAGTTGAGTGCCTTTGCATTGTCAATGAAACACAAGTGAGCATCCTTCTTGTTTTTTCTGCTTTCAGCCAAGATCCACGTGACATTACCAATGTTGCCCCTTGTTCTATATTTCTTCTGATTCTGACCTGCACCTTTGGCAGCTTCCTATCAATGTACTGCTGCAATCATTGTTGGATGATCTTCAGCAAAATTTTACTTGCATGTGATATCAATGATAGTGTTCTATAACTTGAGCTCTCTTTTGGATCATACTTCTAGAAATATGGTTCTCTTCCCCTCAGTTGGCCCACTAGCTGTCTTCTAAATTTCATGTAGTAGATGAGTGCTTCCAGTGTTTCACCAGCTTGTTAAATCATTTTAATTGGCATTCCATCGATTCCTGGAGCACTAATTTGGGCTAATGCTTTCAGAGCCGTTTGAAATTCTTCCTTTAGTACCATTGGTTCTTGCTCATGTGCGACCTCCTGCAATGGTGGACTGTTGACTAGTTCTTTCAGATGCAGTGTATCCTTTTCATCTTCTTTTGATGCTGCCTGAATCATTCAATACTTGACCACATAGAATCTCTTAATATTGCAACTTGACGGTTGAATTTTGTTGAATTCTTTCCGTTTCAGATATGCTCAGCATGTTTTCCTTTTTTGGTTGCATGGTTCTAAGGCTTTGCATATTTCATTATAATATTTTACTTTGTATTCTCAAGGTGCCCTGTGAAATTTTCGGTTCAGTTCATTAATTTCCCTCTTTTGGGCTGGGTGCTTTCTTTCCATCAAATGTTCAGTAATTCTTGGTCCTCTGTTCAGCATTATGCATGTAGCTCCAGGTGGATCAGTGTCCACTTGAAATGAGCTCCTTGCCCTTTTTAATCTAGATGATTTATGGCCAACATCAAATCTCAAATCTCCTCTCCTCCAGGATACTTTCTGAAAACTCCTAGTTGTAGGAGGGAAGCATCCTTCAGGATGTAACCATCCCTGTCTGGGGTTTAATACTACTAGTATCCACTTATCGATTTTTATCATTGGCACTTAAATTCCTTGAGGACGAAGTGCCAGTTTTCTTATTTTTATTATTTAGGTTTAGTTTTTGTTATTGTTATTCTTAATGCTCAATCATTTGTTTGTTTGGTTTAGTTCTGACCCCTAACCCCATGACAGATTCATGATGGGCTTTTTCATAGGAGTGAGTGAATAAATGCCTGAATAAATACCATTTTTAGTTCAACAGGATTTCTTCATGCCTTTTCTTTTTTTTAATAAAATCGAGTCAACTTAAAATTTCACAATAAAATGGTATTTCATCCACGTTGCCAAGTAATTTAATTTTAATCTAAAGGTGTTGTCTACTACTATGAGTGTCAAAGAACTTCGCAATGAGCGCTTTAATGTAGGTGAGTTTCACCATCTATAATTACTTGACCCTTGAAGGAAGGAGCCAGGTATTGTGGAGCCCAGGTGGTGTAGTGGGTTATGAGTGGGGTCAGTAGTTTGACTTCTCGGTGGCTCTGCAGGAGAAAGATAAGGCTTTACTCTGCCCTATTGGGTCAGTAGAAGTCCAAACTGACTTAAAGGCATGGGATGTGGGACTATGTATTGTGTCTTATTTGCATTCATTCTGAGATGCGTGGCCACTGGACATAAAATTGTACTCAATGTTGCTAAAACGTATCATATAATATAACTTCTGTTTCCTTCTAGGAAATTTGCTTGTGATTGTGTTTGTAAGTTACTTTGGCTCCAAGCTACACAGACCACGATTAATTGGAATAGGTTGCATCATCATGGGAACTGGAAGTATTTTGACAGCTTTGCCACACTTCTTCATGGGACAGTAAGTGTCTTAGTTGCCTAGTGCTAACATAACACAAATACCAAAAGTGGTGATGTTAACGAACAGAATTTATTTTCTCACAGTTAGGAGGCTAGAATCTGAGTTCAAGGAATGTCTCTAGGGGATGGTCCCATTCTGTACGTTTCCTCTTCTAGTAGCTACCAGCAATCCTTGTAAGATTCCTTTATCTCCATCACGGCCTTCCTGTTCCCATGTGTGTCTAATCTAGTCTTCTTACAAGTCAAAGGTGAGTAGATTCAGAGCCTATTATATGTGGGTTTGACCTAATTCACATGACAAAAGAAAACCCTATTTACATACAAGATCACAGTCACAGGTACAAGGAGGCAAGATTGCAATATATACTTTTAAGGTATACAATTGAGTCCATGATTTCAATACATATGTTTAAGAGTATGTTAACTGGTTTTCTACTGTTAATACCAATCACATGTAAATGAGTAGTACAATTTTAGTTGTTTTCTTTAACACAGGCAGTCACCTTTTGAGAATGAGACTCCACATAATATATTGTAAAATGAGATACATTTTCTATGTAAATATTAATTTTTTGTTTTGCAGGCTATAGTTTTATAGACTTTGATATATGGATAACACTAAACAGTGTACACAGTTTCAGAGGACAGTAATGTACTACTTGTGTCTGTGTAATTTATACATTTATTGTCTATAAGATTTTATTTCACTTGTTAAGACCACCTCTAAACCCCCTGCAGTATTATTTTTCCAAACTGAACTCCACTGTAGTTAATTCCCTAAAGTCACTATGTAGTTATGATGCTAACGAAAGAAAATCTAAAATATCCATGCCTTAAATGAATTGGTTGTTGTTCATTACCATAGATTTGATTCCAATTCATAGTGGGCCCATAAACTGCTCCCAAAGATTTTCAAGCCTGTTACCTTTGGATGCAGATTCCTAAGCCTGTCTCTGAGGCACTTCTGTGTTTGAACTGCCAACATTTTGGATAGTAGTTCAGCAATTAACAGTGTGAACTATCCAGGCAATGATAAAGAAAGTAGAACTTATATTGCAGGTAAAAGTTAATGTAGCCAGCCTAAGGCAGCTTCTCTTTATCTTACTACTCTGCCATCTATAGCTTCAACCTCATGGCCCAAATTATGGAAATACTGTTCATTACAATATCTCCATACAAAAAGGAGAAAAAGGGAAGATAAAAAGAATAATAAGAACCAGAGGGTTTTGGAAAATGCTGAGGCTTAAAAAGTATTTCCAGAAGCATAACACTCCTACTGATTTCACATTGGCCAGAAGTTAGTGTTACATCTCAAAACCTAGATATAAAAGACATTGCATAAATTATACTTGATTTCAGGCTATTTTGTTCCCAGCTAAAATTTCTGCCTTCTGTTATTACGAAAGGAGAGAAGAAAAGATACTGATAAAACATTAGCTGTTTCTGTCAAAGACATCAATTGCTTCTTCATTGCCAAATACAATAATCATACCTTTTGGTCATGATATTAATTCATGTTTAAAAAAGTATTTGACCTTCATGAGTACTTTCTCCTTCTGAGTACTTGTTTCAATATATTATTATCTTTTGATTTGTATTAAACATATGTCTTTATCATATGCATCATTTTCATTCTACGTGGTCTTTATGAAACACATGGTGTAAGTGCAATTATCCCCTATATACGTAACTTTATCCTACACTCACAACCTCTATATAAATACACACCTTTGGAACTTTCCAATCTAACATTTCATGTGCATTTTTCATTCATATATTCAAAAGTGAACTTATCATTTTGTCGAAACAAGTTCCTCAAGTGTTGTATATTTTCTCTTTTGGTAAATGTTCCTTTAGCTGCTCAAAGTAAAGTGAAAGGTCTCATCCTAGAGACCCTTCCTTCACTTAACACAAATGATCACCAAATCCGGCTTACTCTTCCATCTACCTGTCTGTCAAAGTGTTCTTGCTCTCCTGTTAGAATCTCCACTAGCCTAACTTAGGGAAGCCATGGTGGCCTAATGACTTCAAGTTGGACTCAGTTCGAAACCAGCAGCCTTTTCTGGGTAGAATGAGGAGGTTTTTCCCCCCTAAAGAGTTACAGTCTAAGAACCCCACACATGCAGTTCTACCTGGTCCTGAAGGGTTGCTATGAGTCAGAAGTGATACGGTGGTAGTGAGAGAGTGTAGAGTGAGAGTCTTAACCTACTTTAGGCTTTCATTATTTCTGGCATGAATTTCTTGATTCAAATCTCAACTCTAAACTCATAATACAATATTCATTTTGTAAAATACAATATTCATTTTGGAGCACAATGCTAATTATTTTACTCCTGATTCAAACTTAAAATTTCCTAAAGCAGTGCAATTCAAACTCCAAATGCTGAACAAAATTGTTCAATAAATTGTTCCAAATGATGGTGGCCAAAAGTTAAGCATAAATAAATAAATACTACAAATTTGAATAGAACAGAATAAAATGGAAAAGAATAATGTAAAATGTATATGAGATAAATGTGGTTGTGCAAAACCTTTGCTTTAGTTGTACATATATTTGTAAATGCCTGGGTATGTGGATGGAGCCCTGGTAGCCTAGTGGGTTACATAGTGGGACCGCTCACCATAAAGTCAGCAGTTTGAACCCACTAGTGCTTTTGTGGGAGAAAGAAGAGTCTTTTCTGCTTCCTTTAATAACAGTCTGAGAAACCTACAGCCTCAGAAATCTACAAAGGCAATTTTATTCTGTCCAATAGAGTCATATGAGTCAGAATCCACTCTACAGCTGTGAGTTCTTTTAGTTTAAATGTGCAGTGTAGTGTCTATTTTGACTATAATGAAAAATATATTTTACTGTTGGTCACTGCCAAAAAGATTGAAAGTCATTGGCCTAGAATTAATATACAAACTGATTAACATTTACAATCTACTCACTGATTTTGTCCTTGACTATCTTCCTACATTTATCTTTGATTGTGCCCACAATTGAGGACCACAATTCAGTCCTACTGAACTATTTGCGTGTCTCCAAATGTGCCATGTTATATCATAGCTTTGAATATTATGTTTTGCAGTATTTCATACTTTACCTACCAACTGAATTCTTATTCATCTCCTAAGTTTCATAGCACATGTCATTTTCATTATAAAATATTCTCCAATTCACTTATCTTCACTGCCAAGTCAAGCTGACTTTTTTTTATTGTGTCAACCCAGGATCTTGAATATTAAGATCCTTATATTTTATATATATTTGGCGGCAAGGGTATGAAATGACCTAAGGACTCTATTATCTCAAATGTGCTATAGAAAATGTATATGCATTGTCTATCTGGAAGGGATAGGCGGGATAAGCAAGCCAGAAGAGAGAACAATGATGACAGTTCCGGGGGGACATGGGAGAAGGGGAGGTGGGGGGAAAGGAAGTGGTGTTAACAAACCCAGGGACAAGGGAACAACAAGTGATCCGAAACCAGTGGCAAGGAGGGTGTAGGAGGTCTGGCCGGGCTGGATCAAGGACAATGTAACCAAGAGGAATTCCTGAAACCCAAATGTAGGCTGAACATGATAGTGGGACAACAGGAAAGTAAAAGGAAATAGAGGAAAGAACTAGGAGGCAAATGGCATTTATAGAGATCTAAATATAGTCATATACACATGTAAATATATGTATATATTTATATATGAAATAGATCTATGTACATATATTTATAGGTTTAGTATTAAGGAAACAGATGGACAGTGGGCTCTCAACGGTACTCCCTCAACACAAAAACACTTTGTTCTAACAGTTCGGGCGTCTGAGAT